GGGCCCCGCGCCGCCGTCCGCGCCGCCGCGGGTTCAGTTCCAGCTCGCGGCCGCGCGGAGCGTGTAATTCAAGTTTGTTTTCTTTCTTACAACTTTACAGGTGATCGAATTACCCAGATTGAAGATCCTCTTCTAGGTTTTGCGTAAAAGGCCCCGGATATTTCAAGTGGCCATTTTGGAATTACAGTGTTTTTGGGTAATTTTGCCCCCAAGTTACATTAAAATTGGCGAGAATCATCTCAAGGGAATTGATAGCGAACAGCTCTGCAAAGCTGCTCAAACAGAAACCCGGGCGGTCGTCAGTATTTTGATTCAAACGGATTATATAACCGGTTAAAGTGTTTCAGCTGCTGTGTTTTTTTTGTTTTTTGTTTTGCCTCCCCCACCCTCCCCTGCGGTGTTTTCAGCCGAAACCGTGAGACGCGCTGGATTTGTGCGCCGGGTAGTTTCGGAAGTTTCCAGTTACTGTTTAAATATTGCTGAAGTTCCGTGGCAGTTTATTTTTACCCTTACTAAAACTTTTAGGAATTTTTGACCTCAGCCCTTTTCATGTCACAATGGGACAGCTTCCCTAAATGAAGACATTGAAAGAGTACAGTTTTTTTCCTGTTATCTTTTATTTACGTGGAAATTTAAGATGTTGCGGTTTCCCAGCAGCATGGTAGTGTTGAGATAGCTTTGTCTCTAAACGCTGACGCTTAGGAATGCTCTTCAGATGTGAAATTTTCTTTTTGTTTTTGCTTTTTGGCTCATAAATTGGATATTTCATCTCGAGTGGATAAGTACAACACTGACAAGTACATGGAATAATAAAGAAGACGTTAAAATCTTAAACCCAAGGAACTTGGCTAATTCTGGAGATAGCCATATGAAAACTTTAAAACTGAAGTATGGGTAGCTGACTTGAAGTAACTCTATGTCAAATAGTCATAGGTTAAGTATCTTCAAAGAACTTGGATTTTATTTCAGAGGATACAAAATAAAAAAACAAACTGGAAAACACAAGGATAACAGAGAAAAACCCAACACCTTCCTGTGCGGTCCTGTTGGAATTTGTAAGTACTATATGGTGAGCAAATCAAATGATCGTTTGTAAAATGTAAGGAGGGTCAAGCTTATCCTTTGTTATTCTTGGAAGCCTTTCAATTTCTCACAATAATATTGCTCTGGCTCCAGATTCCTGGACAGTCTGAAAACAACTGTTAAGTAAATTTAAATGCGGAGAGAGTTAAGATTTAAGAATATTTCAGATCACAAACAGTCCAAATTTTAAGTTATTGTGCTCCTAAGGTAGAAAAGCCCATATGATCATTATTCACCTTAGGCTTTGTGGATTCATAGATTGGTAGGACAAACCCAACAAATTATTCATGTTTAAAACATTATAATATAGGGCTTGGGTTTTAATGTATTTCATAAAGTAGCTTGTTTTAAGGCTTAAGTGTTCTTAACAGTTTAATCTGTCATAGAAATTAAGTTTTTGAAACAACTTGTTTTATTTCACATTCCTTAAGATCTCAGTTCCAAAAAGTCAAGTCATTACTAGGAACAGAAGCTGAGAGAAACTGAGCAAGAGGCATTAAGAACTTTTGATATAAGTTAAAAAATGACTATACTTTTTTCTCCTAGGAAGGTTATGCTGGTTTAAGTTGATAAAGCTTTTTTTAAAAAGTTAGTGAATATTAATTGCCGTAATAGAAATTTGTTTTGAAAGTGAATTATCTTTTATTTTTTAAAATTTATTTATTTTATAGAGAGAGGAAGGGCAGGGGAGAGAGAGAAACATAGATTTGTTGTTCCACTTAGTCATGCATTCATTGGTTGATTTCTTGTGTGTGCCCTGACCCGGAATTCAACCCATAACCTTGGTGTATCAGAATGATGCTTTTACCGGCTAGGGCATGAATTATTTTTTAGTATTTATTTTACAGGATTGAATGGCATTTTTAGTTACCATTAGTTACTACATTTTTTTCAGTGACTCTTAGGCATTCAAACGTTGGTTTTTAAATAACTCACTAAAATTTTTTTAAGCAAATACTGTAAGTGAACACATCAGTGTAGCTGAGATTAGAGTGTATTTCACTTAATTATCTTTCTGAGATAAAAGACTAATTTTTGAGCACTTTTCCAAGATGGGCAATAACTTGTCAGTTGCTCATTTATTTTGAAACAACTTTTTTTGCTATACTGTTGAATCCTGCTAGCTTACTTAACAGGAGAAGAGGTAATAGGGTCCAAAAGAATGTAAGTATTTAGCTAGGCCCGTGTAACATTTGTTTTCTGATCTGAAATTGAGATTAGAGTTCAGTAATACTCTCTGTTAAAATAGACTAGGTTATTTTGTGTTTTGTCTGTTAGACCTCTGTGTAGTAATTTTAATTGAGGTTCTACTTTGACTTTCAAAAATACCGATGAGAACATTCTCCCCTGCCCCTTGCTTTGGAGAGCCTGTGTTTTATGTATTCCTCAATTTAATGGCTATTCAAGTTACTTGTCTAAGAATATGCATTTTAAATGTGATTAAGAAGAATTGAAAATGAATGACCTTTATTCAGAGAAAAGAACCAGGCAACATTTAATTAGTTGTGATTATTTTCCTTTATATTGCTTCTGTTGTTGATGTTACCCCAAGCAGTAGTATCAGGTTAAAGAGATGATTCCAGAGAATCGGGGTTTTTTAACCATTAACTTTAATCCTTGAATAGAATATTTGCGAACTTGGCTTACAGCCATTGTTCAAGGACAGGTTTACTTGGCATTGAAATATATAGTATTAGTAGTAATTGGAACAGTAGCTGGGCTGCTGCTTATCCCCTTTAAGTACCCTTTTTCTCCTTGTTTCCCCTTCTCCCAAGTTTTCCTTTTTTTTCCTCCTGTGCCTAAACTATAGGTCTAAAAATAACAGTCACAATGACTAACATTTATAAATGATGATTGTATCATGTGCTTTGCTGTGTCCATTACATGGTATGTTTTAATTCTTACCGTAGTCCATAAGAGAAGTACTGTGACAGTGGCATAGGTGAGAAAATTAAGATTTGGGAAGACTGAGACTGAGAAAAAGTTACCTTGGTGAGGACCAAGGATAGGTTGGCATCTTGACCAAATCTCCAAGCCGCATGCTCTTAATCACTATTCCAGACTTAACTGTTTTGTGACTTTCACTTTATTAAACTCACTTGTGCATTACCTTGATATTTTTGTTTTTCTTTTCATATACTGCTTCTCTTTGGTTAATTTTGATGACTATTTGGAGACAAGCTAAACGATAGAAGAGAAACAATTGCTGGTTTTGCTGTTTATTAGTAGCTGTATGAGTGGTAACTTGGGTTAGCAAAACGTTAAAATGTGTTGTCAGATTATATTGCAATCGTAGGCACCCGTTGCCTCTCTGCACAGGTATGGAGCTAAATGCATGTTAAGTTTGTTTTACTTTTTGTCTGATTTTGAATTGAGATTCCACAAGGATTTTTGTGCTTAAAGCTGCTGACACTTTAGAATTGAGGAAGGGAGGAGTAGGAAAATAAGAGTGATGGGAAGTAACAAGGAAGGAACAGGAGTGGACAGAAAGAAGAAGATAAAATTTAGAGAGTTACAGGAGAAAGGAATAGGATGGGAATCTCTAGTCTCAGAGTAAAATTAGCCAGTGAGGATAGAAGCTAAACCCAGTCCAGATTATCTAATTGCTTTTGATGTAACACCTTTTCTGTTTAATTAAAAATATATATTTTNAGTGAGGATAGAAGCTAAACCCAGTCCAGATTATCTAATTGCTTTTGATGCAACACCTTTTCTGTTTAATTAAAAATATATATTTTATTGATTTCAGAGAGAGGGGGGGAGAGAGAGAGAGAGAGAGAGAGAGAGAGAGAGAGAGAGAGAGAGAGAGAGAGATAGATCAATGATGAGAGTCATTGATTGGCTGCCTCCTGCACGCCCCCTGTTGGGGATGAGCCCACAACCTGGGCATGTGCCCTGACTGGGAATCGAACCTCAGTTTCCTGGATCCTCCGTCCATGCCCAACTGCTGAGCCAAGCTGGCCGGGCTGCACATAGACTTTTAAAAAGTCTAAAAATGAAAAATTGTCAGGAATAGTTGCCTTTACACATGCATACTAGTAAAAGAAATTAGTTTGCTTTTCAGTGAACATAAATACATATCTTTTTAATGAGTTGAGTTTTAAAGAATATTTATTTCACATTGTTTTAGTGGGTAAGAAATTTGGGAACAGTTTAGCTGAGTGGTTCTGGTTTCCTCCAGGTCTTTCATAAACTCTCAAGACATTGACCAGGGCTACAGTCAGTGGAGGGCTTGATGGGCTAGAGGGTCTTCTTTCAAGTGGTCTCATTGGCTGGCAGGTTGATGCTTGCTGTTTGGAGGAGTGAGTTCCTTACCCTGTCTGGACTTCTCCATTCAGCTGCTTGAGTTTCTTTGCAGCATGGCAGCTGTGTCTCCCTGAGCAAGTGATCTGAGAAAAGAGAGGGGTGAGGTCCAGTGCCTTCTGGCCTATGTATTCTCAGAAGTCACGTTCTTTTCACTAGAAGCAATTCATTAAATCTTGGCTGCAGTCAGGGGGAGTGGAGTTAGACTCCATCTTCTGTCAAAAGAATTTGTGGACGTATTAAAAACCACAATAGGAGGTAATCCTTCACACCCTGCAGTTGTCAACATAATTAGCCAGTTTTCACCCCACAAATAGGAAGTTGAATTCTTGTTATAAGTTTAGAGAAGAAAGTGTGTTCTAAATTTAAATTAATTTAGAAGGTTTAAGTCCTACGTTTCTAGGCATCGAATGAGATGGAGGAACTTTCCCTCTGCCTTCACACTGATCTCCCAATCAGTGTATGAGGGGAAATAAACATAAAATTTACCATTTAAGCTACTTTTGAGCATACAGTTCAGTGGTGTCTAGTCTAGTACATTCACAGTGTTTTGCAGCCATCACCACCATCCATCTCCAGAATTGTACCCCATTAGCATTAACTCCCCATTTTTTCTCTCTCCCTGGCCCCCGACAGTCACTGTTCTACTTTGTATTTCTGTGAATCTGACCATCATGCAAGTGGAGTTGTGCACTGTCTGTCCTTTAGTGACTGACTGGCTTGTTTTACTCAGCATCCTGTCCTTGAGGTTCATTCATGTTATAGCAGGCGTCACATTAAGATCTCCTTCCTTTTTAAAACAGGATGATTCATTGTATGTTAGGTACCACATTGAGTTTATCCATTCATCTTTTGGACACTTGGGCTGCTTCCAGTGTTGCTGTGGACGTGGGTCTTCAGATACCTGTTTGAATCCCTGCTTTTAATTCTTTTGGTTATATACCCAGATGTGAATTTGCCGCATCTTAGGGTAATTCTGTGTAATTCTTTGAGGAATCACCATATTGTTTTTCATAGTGGCTGCACCATTTCTTATATCAGTCCACAAAGGTTCCAATTTCTCCACATTCTTTCCAACATTTGCTGTTTTTTTGTTTTTTAAAAGATTGATTGGTTGGTTGATTTTTACAGAGAGAGCGAGAAAGGGGGAGAAGGGGGAGTGAGAGACAGACACTGATTTGTTGTTCCATTTGTTTTTATGTATTCATTTGTTGATTCTTATGTGTGCCCTGACCTGGGATTGAACCTGCAACCTTGGCTTATCTGGACGACACTGACCAACTGAGCTTCTGATTCAGGGGCTCTGTGTTTTTGATAATAGCCATCCTAATGGGTTTGAAGTGGTATCTTGTGGTTTTAGATGCGTTTCCCTAATGATCAGTGATGTCTTTTCATGTGCTTAGGCAATTTGTATACTTTCCTTGGAGAAATGTTTATTCAAGGCCTTTGGCCATTTTTAAAATCAGATTGTTTTTGTTGCTGAGTTACAGAGTTCTTTGTATTCTGGATATCAAGACCTATAATAATGAGTGGATCTTAATAACTAATCTATCAGTGCTTACTTTGTTTCAGGCAGTGTTTTAAGCATTTTAAGTATATTAACTAGTTTAAGCTTCATACACACTTGAGTGTGGGAAGGTCCTGTTGTCCTCATGTCTCGGATGAGAAA